ATGTTTGGGGGGTGTTGGGTTTTTTTATTGGTGGGGGGTGGGGTGGGGGGGGGGGGGGGGGGGTATTCCCTACCCTCACATATGCTGGTATATTGATTCAGAAAAAAATGTTTTCAGGTTGGTAATAGTTAGAAAGTTATAAAATTTACACTATGACAAATGTCTTCCTTATTTAATCTATCTATGAATATCTTTAAAAATATTATATATTTTATATATTTTCAATAAAATTAAATAATAAGTGGATTTTATCATTTTTAAAATAATTATAATAATATTGACCAGATGAGAACGATATGGGCCTAACAACTTTTTGTCTGCCAAAACAATAAATTAATTTACCTCAACACCATCAAGCCTTGTCAACTCAAGTTGCCCTGGTTCACCAACAACTACATTTTCATCACAATGTACACCATCCACAGCCTTTGAACAGGTGCCCCTGGGTGCCTTATTTTCTGCCGTGGGCTCATTTATACAAAAAGACAGACTATCCACCATCAACACCAAGATGGATAACCATGCCCTTCCTGTCATATTAAAAGAAATATTATTTTACCCCACAGATGTCAGTACGCTTGCAAAACGTTAACGTTATCATGATAAAAAACGATAATCCAGTGTGTCATCTTCTGGTAGGCTACAAACTGTTACCGGAAGGGAAATCCGAGCCTCATTTTCGATCGTCTGTCTGTTCGTCATTGTGTACATGTGAGTACTTGCAGTTGAAGCCATGTGTTGTTTTCCTGGTTTCTGGACGTAAAAATGGGTTCGCCAAGTCGAATTTTTTGTGGATATCGAGCCCTAGGCTTCAATAGCAATCATGTTCCTCTAGCCGTGCGATATCACCAGAAACATAAAGAGAATTATGTCGTGACTTGTGTCGGAAAAGCATTCCATACTTACAACGTAAGTTGTTGAAGTACTGTAGAAGTTGTAGACAATATACATAATACCCCATTGTTTTGGTGATGATGTTGATATATATTTTTGTTTTAATCTGCAGCTTCATTTGGCAGCATCTGTCATTAGTAGAAACATTTCTGTGATGCCGGTTACATGCCTTTTCATTTGAGAAGCATACTACAGAGTTTACCCTTTTTATGTTTCCTTTCAAAACATAACCTGCACTTAAGTTCTTTATAACTTTCTTTAATATTTTATGTCAGGCAGGATTAAAGTGATTTGTTACAATAATCCTATTTTGCTATCATTTTATTTCCAGTGTTCCAAACTAGGAATTGTGAGTGTTAGTAAGTATATTATAAGAACTTGAATGTTATTATATTTTAGACCTGTGCATTGGCAGAAATTGTATGTGGTTCTTTCAATTATTTCTTACATAAGTGTCTCTAACTCTGCTCATACTTTCTTGTTTAAGTCTGCTTATTGGTGGTATATAGACACTTCCCTGGGGTAGCGCTAACACTCGCCAATTTAGCCAAATGCTAAAACTGACTTAAATTGGCTAAACAAAAAGGGCTTAATTTGACTTGTTTTAGTTAAATTATAGCCATTTGGATAGCAAATTGACAAAAAAGTGGTGATTTGGCTGAGTGAAAAAAATTGCTAGCGCTACCCCAGCTTCCTTTGGTGTCTGTTCAAGATTTTTCTTTATGCTTATTTATGAGCATATACGTTTTAATGATCAATAATCATAATTCATAATCAAAAGTAATGTTATATTTGCTGAAGATACTATTGAAAATAATTTTAAAAAGAGAACATTTATTAAAAATCATTGATGTGTTTTTCTTTTAAGTCAGTGTCTTATCGTTAAAAATTTTAGGCAATTCTCATCCAGATGATATAAACTGCCTTGCTGTAGATGCCTACCTTGTCTTTACTGGATGTAAGAATGTCATTAGGGCCTTCACAAGAGGAAGGGAGGTAAATGGCTGCTGATAACCTGCTTGTGACCTTCACTAAACATAGCTGTTGTGACATCAAACTGTTTCTCTGTGCACATCTTCGGTCTCTTAAAAGGACAATGTAAGATTCCAATAATATGATGTGTGTCTCAAAAGTAACGGGGCTGGTATCACAAACAATTTATTATTATAGCAAACTGCATCACTTCCCCTTTGAAGTTCTCTTCAGGTGTAATGCACTTTTCTACATTTCTCTGTTGCACCTCTGTGCACTGCTGGAAAGATTCATCAGGGATGACCCTGCCCTTCAGCCCCTTCATTCTTGAGCTCTTGCTGACATCCAGGCCTTAAAAATGGGCCCCCTTGATAACCTTCTTGGTGAATAAGAACATAATGGTGCATTAAACTAAACTGTATTATTTCTTATGAAATTTATAATAATTATTATTCCTTTTTTTTTCAGTTAACTGTATATTTAAATGTTTATCAAGTTGCCGATACTGCCCATCATATGATAAATTGACATTGGTGTCTCATTTAGGTATCTCACACTTATGAGGGCCACGAGAGCAATGTGATCCTTCTCTTGCCATTTGGTAACCATTTAATATCAGTTGATGAAGACAGTTATGTTAATATATGGGATATTCAAAGTGAAGGTAGGTGTGAAGGAAGTATTTAGTGTTTTTTCTATCACTTGAGAGCAACATGCATTTTGAATGCATGTATGGCTGTCGTTAATTACAAAATTAGATTGGCATAAGGAGTTATACATATTCTGATATCCAGATATTTTTTTACGGAATGTAAAAATATGTTATTTATTTTTTTAGATTTATTTTTTGATATATCTTTGTATTTTAGAATTATACTTAATTATTTTTTAAAATTTATTTTGTGATATATCTTTGTGTTTTAGAATTATACTCTTCCCTTGGTTTTGAGAAGGAGGTGTTTGCCATCACAGCTGCATTTCACCCTAGCACTTACCTGAACAAGATCCTGCTTGGCAGCAAGCAGGGCGCTTTACAACTGTGGAACATCAAAACTGGGAAACTGATCTACAGTTTTACAGGGTGGAAACAAGCTGTTACTGTTTTAGAACAGGTTAGCCCTTGGTCAGACAAAATAGGCATTGAATAGCAATTCATCCCAGACATTTATTTGATACGTACTGTAAATTACATTCTGATTAAAAAATTATTATAGACATTAGTAGTAGATTTTAAGATTTATACACTAAATCTTAAATAAGGTAAGAATTTTTTTCCGATAAAGCAAAATTTCTATAATGAACAATTACAGTGGTAAATTTCTGTTAATTTAGCTCTTTTTCATTGTATTCTAAATTAATTGTAAAGACTGTAAGTACAATCTGTTTATTCATTGTTCCAGAAGTTTTAGAATGTCATATAAACATTAACACTGGCAAATACACTTTTAGCATGTTTTGTAACATGCTCTTTTCATTTTAGGCCCCAGCCGTAGATGTGGCTGCTATTGGTTTAGCTGATGGACAAGTAATTCTGCATAATTTGAAATATGATGAGACTCTGATGAAATTCATGCAGGATTGGGGTCCAGTTACTACTGTGGCATTCAGAACAGGTGCTGAGATAAGATGAGGAAATATTTAAAGTCCTTTTTACATCCTAGAGTTAATGAAAGTACAGTCAGTGGTTTGTTGGGTGACACGGTTACATGGGTGGTGGTAGTGGTTGATACTTCAGAATCAACAAACAAGAAAAATCTGAGTCAGATGTCTATGCTATAACATGCTGCCCAAGGTGATCTTAAACCTCATATGCTGTAGTTATATATACATTCACTAGTTCTTGGTTTCCTATTGAAGATGGCTCCCCAGTAATGGCGACAGGCAGTGTGGCAGGACACATTGCCTTGTGGAACCTGGAGGAAAAGAGGCTGCTGAGTCAGATGAGAGGGGCCCACAGTGGGTCTGTAACAGGAATGAAATGTCTTCCATCAGAACCCCTAATGGTCACCTCGTCTGCAGATAATTCACTCAAGGTAATTTTTTGTTGTTCATTTTCAGATATGATGTGTTGTCGTGATTATTATGCCAGACCAGGCAAAGTAGTTACTATCAATGTGGACATGTTTTACTTAAAATTATATTGCCATTTTGTATATTAAAAGGGTAAATATTTTAGTGATTAAACAATATTAAAATGTTTTGTTTTCATATCATAGAAGTGTCTTAACATATTGTTTGAATACACTTTTCAATGTAGGTGTGGATATTTGACCAGCCAGATGGTGGAGGAAGGTTGCTAAGACAACGGACTGGGCACAGTGCCCCTCCTTCAAAGGTCCGTTTCCATGGCAATAATGGGCAGAATATCCTGAGTGCAGGTATGTACAAAGATTAAGTGTGGGTAATGTTAATTTAAACATATTTCCTTATCTATTTACAATAACTTTAATTATCATACACTGTTTTCTACCAGATTGGGTCTATTTATTTATTTATTTATTTTTTTTAATTTGATGCAAACTAGGGGAACATGTGAAGTATGCTGCATATTTTAAAAATTGTATTCATTCAGGTCAGGATAGTACTCTGAGGTCATTTTCAACAGTGCATGACAGGCACAATAAGAGCCTGGGAAGAGCATCATATAACAAAGCAGAAACCAAGAAGACTGGGTTAAAATTGGATCAACACATGATGCCTCCCATCACAGACTTTGACTCAGGTGCTTACTAGGATGAAATAGCAGCATGTGAAATGTTAAGCTTGAAATTGTGTTTGTATTCTGTTGTATAAAATGTTTGTTGTTATAAAATTCTTAACGAATGGTTAACTCACAGATTTTGCATCAATTCCCAGAAATATATGTACTTACTTACTTTTGGTTACTTATGGTGGTTTTGTGACATGGGCCACAGCACGTCCTTTTTGTCAGACTCTGGACTTAGTGGTGCCTGTGACTTTGGAACTTCATGCAATGGATGATAGTTATACCTTACACCACATTCAGGTGACAAATTGTGCCAGAGCTCTCGAATGTAACATATTGCAGTGTAAGAGTTGTTGTTTATTTAAATTTCATTTCAGAGATATCCCGACAAAGTGACTGGGATAATATACTTGCCTGCCACAGAGGTCTTGGAGAAGTGACCACATGGAATTACCAGAGGTCATCAATGGGCAAACACAGGCTGGCACATCAGAGACTGACCAGTAAAGAACATGGTGGGACAGTGGCACTGGTACGTATAAGTTTTTGAGTATACCATTGTTTTAGAGATAAATATGTTATAGCAAGAGGATAATATGAAAAAAATGGTGTTTTTTTCTAATTGTAACTGTGTGACAGTGTGTGTTATAGATATGTTTGTAATAAACTAAGGAATAAGTTAATTTTCAATATATTGTGACCATTTTAATTTAATGGTCTTTATTCTTAAAGTAAAAGAATATGCAGGTATCGAATTATATGGCTCATTTGTATGTCCATCAAATGTACGTATTCTAATGTATTTTCAATTTCTCCTAGTGTGTATGCCTGACATCGTGTGGCAACTTTGGTTTGATAGGGTACAGCTCAGGCCACGTGGATGTCTACAACATGCAGTCAGGACTACATAGAGGTTCTTATGGCAATCCTACTGGTAAGGTTTTCTGTTCAGTTGTTACTTTCTATTCTTTTGTTGTTGTCTCCCTACATGGTTATTTTAGTGCGCATGTTTGTGTGTGTGTGTGTTTATATAGGTGTAGAACAAAAATGTTTTACTACTTGCAGGATATATCACCATGTTAACTGTTGGTTATGATTGATGCCAAACATTAAAAAAAAAACAATAGACAAATGGGACTTGCATAGCAAGCCCCATTATAGCACTAGCAAAGGTGTTAGGGTGAAACTGGTTTAAACACGTTTGTGATGTTCTGTACTTGCAAAATTCTAAAGACAGGATGGAACTCACTATTGATTTCAGATGAATTTGCTTTATTGTTTTAGCCCATGATGGTGCTGTAAGAGGAGTAGCTGTAGATGGTCTGAATCAAGTCACAGTAACAGCAGGAGCAGATTTCACAATTAAATTCTGGAAGTTCAAGCAAAAGCAGTTGTTGGAGACACTCAAAGTGGAAGCACAGGTTGCCAGTATTTTATTACACAGAGAAAGGTAAGGTGTTGTTTTTGGCAAATATGATGCTATCTCCATGAATTATAAATAGATTTTAATCCTGACCTTATAAGAGACACAGGTAGGCACTTGAAAAAATGGTACAGTCTGAAGCTTATATTTGTGCATTTACAGGGTAATTTTTTAAAACAAAGATACTTTATAAAAAATAGCAAAAGTGGTTTAATTTGTTTCCAGCTGTATGTTAGCTGCAGCGTGTGATGATTTCAGCATATCTATCATAGACATTGAAACCAGGAAAGTAGTGAGGCGCTTTGAGGGGCACACAAATAGAGTGAATGACATGGTGAGGGTCACAAAACAAACAGCCACAAATGTATGTGGATGCGTGAAATTGTTTTAATGACATCTTTGATAAAATAATGTTTCTTTTATGTCTAAATTGAAATGTGTACGATAACACATTCCATGTTTTGTAATTTAAGTAAAAGAATTGCTTTTTCTACTTGAACCTAAATATTGGCAGTTTTTATATGAAAATAAACAAGTGTTCTTTTGTACATGTGGCAATAGCACTATGAATATGCAATAAAATGATTCCAATATTTGTATACAATAGACTTTTAGTCCAGACTCCAGATGGTTGGTCACTGCCTCAATGGATGCTTTGGTCAGGACATGGGACCTTCCAACTGGACGGTAAGGGATGATAAAGACTATGGTAATGTCATATCATGTTACTTCTGTGAAAATAACAGTGGGTTTTTGATGATACTCACGTAAGATATTGCAATTAATTGCAAGTGATTATGTTTTTGAGTTCATTGACATTGATTCATATATTTGACTTTTGCAGTGTTAAAACTTGACATGATCATGATCTCTTGTTTATATTTTTCCTCAATTTTTTTTATTGTATCATTTAAATTTTTAAAAATCACTGTACCTCTTTGCACAGGTTATTAGATTGCTTTGCATTAGATGCCGCAGCGACCAGTCTGACCATGTCCCCTACTGGTGACTTTCTGGCCACCACCCATGTAGATGACCTAGGGATATATCTGTGGTCAAACAAGACATTGTACACACATGTCCCTCTCAGGCCACTGCCTAGTGACTTTGAACCAGTCACAATGGAGATGCCATCCACCAGCAGAAAGTCTCAAGGTAATACATGTGGAAGTAATGCACTTATAATTTAGTAAGAATGAATTTGGTTGGTGAGAATGATTTCTGTCAAGTTGATCAGTGTGTGGGTTGTAAGAAATTCAAAATATTATATTATAATATAATCTTCAGTCACTTAGAATTTTTTTAAAATCATTAGATGATGCTTACAACAACAGTTAATTTAAAAAGTGCACATATTTTACCATATACTGTGTTTCTCTGTTTTTGTTTTGATCGTGTTTTTTTTTTTTTTACAAAAATGCCAATTTATATCAAGGTGCTCCAGAAGAGAGAGAGGAGGATGTAGAATATGTGACATCAGATTTCAAATCACCAGCCCAGATATCGGATGAGTTGGTCACTTTGTCACTTCTTCCCAACTCTAGGTGGCAGAATCTCCTCCATCTTGACATAATCAAGGTACACTACATCTTTATTTATATATATAACATTTTGTTTGATGAGGTGTTGACATGCTAGTCCTTTGGAACGTGATCATATATAAGAAATTACTTTAGAGTATTTTGGAAATATCAAACCCTGAATAACATTAACAAGCAATTTTATAGCAGTTCAGAGCAGCATTCTTTTTTAAAATCATTTTTCCAAAGGCCTATAACAGATTTTCTCAACTTAAAGGTGATATATTGATTAGACCTGAACTATAAATTTTGAATATTTCAGAGTACCTCCCTCTTCCCAAAAATTATTTTTGTCAGGTTATATAAGATTCTCTTATGATGATTATTTGTGTTTGTAGCAAAGGAATAAACCCAAAGAACCACCCAAAGTGCCCAAATCTGCCCCGTTCTTCCTCCCTACTGTACCAGGACTGGAGTTCAAGTTTGCACCAGCAGATGAAGGAATTGTTGCTAACAAGGTTATTGTATAGAAAGTGGAGTCTGTACCTGTATGAATTTGAGGCTTGAAATGTATAGAGGTCCAGATATGTAACGTAATTCATATCAAAGAATTTCAAATGATTATATCTTGACTTATTTTTGAGATTGCAGTTCTTTTGTCCAAGGTAGTATCATAAACAATTATAATGAGTAACTTAAAAGTCATTAATCATTGAAAGATAATATATTGGTCAATGTGAAGTGTTTAAATTTGTGACTAATTACACACGTTTTTCTACATAATTTCTAACTACCTTTCAGGAGGGTTCTCATATTTCCAAACTCACAGAAACTCAAAACTTGACAGAATTTGGAAAATTGTTAAAGATGTCAGCATCAAATGGGAACAGTAAGTTCTTTTTTATTCAGATCACCATTTTGAATAACTACATCAGCAAAGACATTTTATTTATTTAGCTTTTTTGATTGGTGAGGGGGGGGGGAGAGAATGGTCAAACTGATATGGAGAGGGTATATATTGTTTACAAATTTGGAGAAAGACTAACTGTTCATCTATCCTATCCAGGTACTAGTCTGCTACATTATCTCTGCTGTTGAAATCAACAACTTTATATCAGTAATGATTTCAGTCCCAAACGTTCTATCTTCAAAGGCAATTATCTCCATTTTAGCATCAGAAGTACTGTCCAAGCTGAAGGAGCTCAGTCCTGCAGCCATTGACGTAGAGTTAAGGGGTCTGGCTCCAGAGGCAGGGGGGTCTGTAGCCCTGATGGTGCAGTTCCTGAAGTTCATCAGCGATGTTCTGGATTCCAAAAAGGACTTTGAACTTGCACAAGCTTATCTGGGTTTATTTCTTAAGGTTTGTGTTAATTATGTTATGGGAAGGTTTACCAAGAGTTTTAAGTTACTGATCTTCAAAATTACTGTGATTAAGATACACATACACTACTGGAAATTCTGATGTTTTACAACTATTTTTGTGTTTTGTGAGATTTAACACTTTCACAACCTAGCTGCAATTCAAATCTTATTGTTATGTTTCATTGATTTTTATATTCTATTTTCAACAAAATATGCATGATTTAAGACTAAATAGGTAAATTTCATTCTAATTACAGCTGCATGGGGAGTTGATTGCTAATGACCAGCAGTTACTAGAGCAAGCCCAACTACTAGGCAACAGCCAGGCGCAAGCTTGGAAACATTTACAAACTATGTTTAACCAAAGCTTATGTTTGGTGAACTATTTAAAAAGTGCAACATTATGATAATTGTTTTACCCCTTTATTTTTCAAATACACATGCCCATTAGTTAAAAATGAAGAACGAAGAAGGGTTGTGGTGTATTCATATAAATCATGCAATATAGAAAAAACTTTGAAACTGTTTTTTTTTCATTTAACATCATGCATCTGTAAAACTCATTTAGGGAAAGTAAATAAAGAAAAAAATGCACCAATTTCTAAATGTAGACATGTTTTTTATTTAACATCAAAAATATTTTGGTGCAGTATAATCCAGTAAGCATTCAGAATAATCTGACTTTAACCTCTCAGTTGAGGTGTAAATGGGATAAGCTGCAATACACATGAAATTAGTCTCTAGTGTTATTTGATTAGTATGTCTTGATTACTATACAGATCAAATTTTAATAACACTGGAATCTGAATATTAAAATTGGCTAAACTGTCCAGTTTTTATCATCCCTGTTGTAACAGGTTGTTACCATTAGAAATTCCTATCACACAGCAGGCCAACCTTGGTCCAGCGTTGCCGCTCAGGCTACTTCCCTTGTCCCCTCCACGCCCCAGATCATCTTCACTGGCATGAATCTGGTAAATAGTATATAGTTCTTGTAATGAGAAGATGACACGGTGTACAGACTGAGAGTGTAATATCACGTTATGTCTTTACATTAAGGGCATATTAATGTTTTGTATTCTGAAATCCCCATTTCAAATTTTTTATGAAGTTTCACTTAGATGACATTAATTTTGTCTAAGCCCTTGTTTTTGTTTTTATAAGATGCGGTGTTCGGTACTTGCTTATTATTTATATTGGAGACTACTCACAACAATGGCCCTTCCAATAATAGTGTTTGGTCCCCAAAGTGAAGCAACAGAGTCCAAGAAAGCTGTTACAACATTTCCATCAGAATCTCTTTCTACGTTTCCCCAGTCGCCTACATGCCTGACAGAAATAAAAAAAATGAGATAACTAAGCAGCAGGTTAATATTTTTTTTGCTAAATGATATATTGACTTTTGAAAGGACGATCATTGAACACGTTTCCTAATGTGCGTATTGTATTATCTTTCTATATTACTATGACTTAACAAATAAGATTCGGAAAATAAAGGTAATGTTGGTAACTGTAGTATTGCTTATATATTGCTATGTCCATACCTTTTGTTTGGCAGGTCAGTCGGGGACCCATGTCGTACATTTGCTGGGTTAAAGTGACCCCCGGTAGAAGCGCACCCGTCGCTCAAATCACCGTATGTATGGACGTGAAGACCATGTTTTAAGCTATTGCCCTCTGTTGGCAGTCCAGAAATATTTACTCGGACTTCGAGCAAGTTTCCCTTCAAAATACAAGAACATGTTTTAATAAAACGCCTTTCATGTTTGGGCAATATCAACCGAAATCTGCTTGAAATTTTGACAATTTTACTGGCAATGATTTAAGCAGTTCATGAGTTAAAGGCATTTTTGTTCAGAGAGCATTAGATAAATACCCACTCTTTGAACAAGGTAGATGTCTCCACTGATGCCGTGTTTAACACCCGTGTTTGGTCTCATATCGCAGTGGCCAACAGTGTACATGCGAGCCAGCTGTTGGGGAGACAGATAAGGGCGTAGGCCTGTCAAAAGAGGAATGCTCCTGCATTTATATTGATACTTGAACAACGGCGTGCAGTACACAGAAGCAAATGGAGAAATGCATGTACATGTTCTTGTTAAAACAAGAAGATGGTATTATTCTCGAACCAAAACATTTGTAACTACCAAAATAATTTATCCTGTTACAATACTACATCATTAAATGTGTAGAGTTAAAAAGGGAAGGCAAAATTAAAATAATGAACACAGCGTACTTTCCAAAACGGGTGGCTTGCACACTTTTCCTTTTCCATCATTACAGCATTTCATGTCTAATATACAATCATGGTCGTTGGTGCACTGCCAGAGGTACTTTTGACCATATACGGGGAAGGTTGAGCAGGTGCCCGTTTTTGCAGGATATCCAATAGGGAGCCCATGTGGAAACGTTAAGCTTTTGACCGAGGGTTTGGGCGCAGATTTTCTTGTAAAATGCACTTTTGCGAAAGGAGAGAAAAAGTTAGGAACATTATTTGGTTTCATGAAAAATATCTTACTTCAGTAATAACGATTTTACTAATTATGATATTCATTATAATGAAAAATGGACTTTTATATGAAATGGGCGGTTCGTGCATTTTGGTGAGTCATATTGGTAAAAAATTCATTCTCAGATGCCATACTCCACGTAACACGAGATAACAACAGATGTTACTGGTGTTTTTTTTTCCTGCTCATTTGCAAGTATTAGTTTACATGTGTTATAATATATAATTGCATGCGGTATATTCCATCATGTTCTGATATAGCATGTGCTGTTTACAGCGTGACACAAAAACAGACTGAAAATAGAAAATGAAAGGCGCAATATTCACTGAAAAAAAAAAAACCTCAACCGAATTAAAAATCAGAAGTTATATTTCGTTATTTGATGAAAATTCACACATATTTTTGCTGTTAAGTAACTAGCATACATTCCATATATCATTGAAAAGAGGACATGCAGCAAAGAGTTGCTCTAAAAATCAATGCTATTTTTCAATTACATCACAATAACAAAATTTGCATTACAAATTTCTGCAGGTTGAAAATAATCTGAAAGTGTTTCAGTAGCAGTTTGCATAGATATAATGGATTGGAAAATTGAAAGGGAAAACCGTGATTTATTATAACTTTTACAAGATAGTAGTTTCAGCTGCCAATAACCTTCACAAACATGTAGCCAAAATCTAAGATTGATCTTATAAAAAGAATAAATATATGCCCAACAGTATTTTCTATTTACTGTTGGTTTACTAAAGTGAACCAATCAATCCTCTTTACGGAATATATTCTTCTCTTATAATTCGCCTGATTTACTTACAGAGCACTGTTGTAACTCACCACAGTCGGCTTCGTCGCTCCGGTCGCCACAGTCGTTTTCACGATCACAGCGCCAAGTAGCAGGAATGCAACGACGGTTCTTACATTTAAATTCGTATGCAGAGTCGCAGTCTAGACAACAAGAAAAGATTACATCTTTGAGTGAAGAGTGAGAAGAAAATGGAAATAAGGGTTTGCCTATATCGATAAGTCCCTGTCCACGTCAGATTGGAATTGAAAAAAGATACATATGACATTTTTTGAAAAGAAAAGATATTTACCACTCATTGTAGCCCACTGCTAATAATCATAAATATTTAGAGGAATCATTTCTTTCAGGACACGAACCGCGTCACTGTCATCCTTGTTTCACTGGGCTTGCGGCAGCTTGGAGAACGTGTTTTTCCCACTCTCACCCCTTCTAAGTTAGGATTTTGACAGTTTTTGATAGTCAACATCAAATTCATACATCAGTGTTTATTAATACTGTAGCCAACATTGCAGCCTTATATTTTGTTATATATTTGTGAGAGTGAGCCAAAATTCCTTCTTCAACTGGCTGCAAGCTATGTGTAACATCAGCATGTCGTCAATATGCCAGCAACATGATATTTTCTTAATCAAGTGGTAGTATGAATAACGATCGATTTTCATTTATCTCATTATCACTGATTTGTAGGTAAAAATGAAGGATAAAAGACCTGATATTAACTAACCTTTGCTTTGAAACCCAGCATAGCCATGGTAAAATGCGTTAATATCAAGAGTAGGCATTCTCATGTTGAGCCTGGCTGTCTTGACATTGTTCAGGTAAACAGGTGTTGTCTCAGGAGGCGTCTCGGTTGCCGGGGTGGCCTGGCACGATGTCCAAATAAGTAAAATTAGAAATGTGCATCTAAGTATCCCAAAGAACATGTTTTTAAAACAAAGCTCTGCGTTATCAACCTCGTCACTAATATTCCAGTTTGAGAATCAAACGAAATTTCTATGACTGAATGATGACCACTGTTCTTTTGGTAGCAGCTTACGCTCGCGCTTTTATAGGCCTTGTGAAGGTTTTGGTATGTGAGCAAAAATGGGTGAGGTCGCATCACGAACGCGACATATGTGGATCTCTCAGACATTTTCACGGTCTCGGCTATGTAATTGTGCGTGGAAGGACTGTTGCAACTGCAACAAGTGTGTATATGGCCATGGGTGGCACGCGACATATCGCTACACGTAACAGAATGTTCCGTTTGGGTTACAGTGTTTTGTCATAATAATATCAAGCTTTTATTGCTGTTTTGAGAATCACAAACAATATAAACATGCAGGTAAAATGCAGACCAAAAATCTAAAAGTGTCATAAATTAAAAACGTAATCCTAGACTAATGCCTGGAAACAATACTATAATTAAATGTAATTGATACTAATTTACTAGAAAAAGTTACATTAAAATTGAAAAAAAAAACTGACGAAAAAATAAAGATAAAATTAATTGTCATTTTCCGAACATATACATGTATAATGCACTAGTACAGTAACGTTACCGGAAACAATCGCTTTTCCGCTAGATGGTGCTGCAGTTGTACTTCCTTTTGTTTACAATCGCGCAATGCATTTTGGGATACCGCACTATCCTGAAGAGACGTTTACGTCAAGTACTGCGTGGAATTTCTAGCAACATGACTGATTTTATAGACTGGGAATCTTTGCCTTATTCACGTGCAGGAGATTTAAAACACCGGAATCCATACGAAATGAAGAAAGGGAGATTAGCTCCCATTTGGACAACAGGGCATGAAACATGGGAGCATTCCAAAAATGAAATCGTTGGTATCATCAACAATGGTTTCCATTATAGAGGAACACTTCATAAAGATACATATTTCAAAGTGATCAAAGCTGACATGATGAGCCATCTGCTGTTAAACAATTGGGAAGACGATCATTTTCGCATCTTGAGTGATTTCTGTGGCCACACAGAAGTAAGTCGTGTCTTATTTTCTTGTTTAGAATCTTCTTTTATTCAAATGAACGGAATTTGCTTCCAATTTTAAGTTTTAGAATTTTGCAAGATAGCCTCTGTGGAAACTTTTTAAAAAGACATATGAAAATTTCTATAACTGATATTTTATGACAAGAATTTTACTGAATTTTTAACGGACTTGATGAACTTGATATATAAAGCCTATGTAACATAATTGGATTTTCGACTTTAAAAAAAATTGTCATTACCATGTTTTTTCTTCAGCTAATATTTAGCAAGATCCTGATGGGATGCAATTTTGATTGTCCAGTTATAAGCTAGCAAAGGTCACTGTAAAGACTGTGATTATCCTATTATTGAAGCTATAGATTACTGCACAGACAAGAGATACTGTACATGTAGCAGACTTACCAACATTATCATTTTGGCACATGCCAACCATTTTATCCTAACAAAGATGCTTTATATTGTTCTTAAAGGTTGCTATAAAGATTGTAAACAAGAGGCTTGCACCCACAGAGTACTGGGCTGATGTGCTACCCAGAGAACTACAAGGACATCAAGTTCTGTCTACCAGCAGCAGTTTTGTAAGTTGACAAACTGCATGACTGTATTTTTATGAAGCAATTTGGTATTTCGTCCTCATGCTACTGCTATGTTTTCCATGTTTACTTTTATCTTATGAGAAACACATTTATAACACTTCTGTTTAACAAGAGGTCAGTATAAGCAAAAGTACAATATTCAAATTTAAATGAATATATAAATACATCCTTATGTTTTTGGTGCTATATATAAGAAGATATATATAAATCTTTTTTCATTATGTAGGTGCATTATGAATAAGCCATCAAAGCTGTTTTCTTATAAAGGCTTGTATTCCATACAAGTTACTTATCCAGTAAATCTTTTTCTTAGTTACAGTTTTATAAGACATTTGGCAACAAGGACTACCTTTACATAGTGACAGAATTCTGTGATGGTGGTAGTTTGAATAAACTGGTGCCAAATGTGGATAATGTGAAAAAAACAAATTTGTCCAAATTAGGCCTAGATGAACCAAAAGCAAAGTCTATTTTTTCGCAAGTCTGCACTGCTGTTAATACTCTGCACATCAGTGGGATAATCCACAGGTACATTCTTAAATCCATCTTCCAAAATATATATATTATAATATATAGTATTAGTTATGAGGTTTATTTTGGAAAGTTGGAATGACACTGAGAAATACCCAGTTAGTCTGTAAAATAGTCATAATCTGTGTTTTTTTGTAGTTTTACTTTATATGGCTGTTAATAATAATAATATCTCAGTTAACTTGTTAAGTACAGAGTGAATTGATACATATTTTTAAAGATTCATGTGGTTTCATTTATTTCAGAAATATAACAATGGGAAATATTCTACTTGATTCATTTGAAGAAATTAGAGTCAAAGGTTGGTATTATTGATGAAACTGGCATGCACTTGGAACAGGTTACAAATGCTTTTATGATATTCCTGTCTTTCGTGAAACACATTTAGAAATAAACAAGTGGATCAAATTACTACTTATTTGTCAATCTGCTGCTTTTTCCCTTTTTTTACATATATATTTCTTTCATAGATTATGTTACATGATAAAAATTAAGCTTTGCTAATGATATGAAGTGGGAAAAATTCTATAATTTTGAATATAAATGTATAATTTTTTGAAAAAATTATTTTTGTGTTCAAGTATTACAATTATTATATAATTCATAAAAACAGCATATGTAAATAAATATTTTTGTTTGTCATTAAAAAGGGTTTAGACATATGGCATACTTTGACCCTGGAACAAAAGCAATAATGTCTGAGAAAGGTGGAGACCCTCATTATACTGCTCCTGAAGTCTTACGAGGAAAACTGTATGATGGAAGAAAAGCAGACATCTGGAGTCTGTAAGTAGAACAAACGTTCTCGGGGGTAAATCCAAAGACATTTTCTGACAGTCTTCCAAATTATGTTTGTTGATCCATCCTACATTTTTGGCATTTCTGACAGAAAAATGTAGATGCCCGTCAGTGTAACCTTGAAAAATTCTGATCGTTTTCGGGAAGACCCAGAAGATGGCTTCCATCTGCCCCTGATTCTGGTAAAAATAAGATGTCCAAGATAGGAATTGCTAAAAAATTAACAATAAATAAATAAATAAATAAATAAATGAATAAATTGGAGTTCTGGTCAAATAAATAAAAAAAGGTCAGATTGATAATTTCTATATTTTGTACACAATGCCATGCAGCTTGGGTGTTGCTAAATCTCTCCTCTCTGAGTCTAGCAATTGCCCTAGATCAGAATAGAAAAGAAACTTATTTTTCATGAGATTGTGCCCTCTTGTACATTCAATTAAGTACTTGGCCTGTGTTTGGTTACAGTACACTGTAATGAATGATTGAGCTGAAAAGAATTGAAAACCGGATCAAAAACAGTTATATTGAGTCTGTCACACTAATAATTTGCCCCTATCAAATTCCTTATACTTTGTGAATATTCATTTTTTGTTTTCATGGTAAGATTTTGTGGCAGTGCCATCCAAGGATAAAATAAGCAATGATACTTATTTCTAATTTGAAATTTAGTGGAGTAGTATTATTTGCCATGGCCACTGGAAGACTCCCATTTCAAAATTCCAATGAAGAAGATCTCATTGAAGATATGGAAATGGGAAGGTTCACTTTTGGTAAAGGCTTGTCAGAAGGTGAGTAAGATATCAGGAAAATGTGAAGACATATAAACATGCTCACACAGTTGCCTTATTGCATGTGCAGCTTTGGTTGACTTTAATTTTTAAAAATTCTACTGCTTTATCCATCTTTATCTGCCTAACGTTTATGCTTTGATCGTGTCTTTATTTTGCTTTGGTTTGCAATCCTTTTTCTGCTATTGATTTCTTTTGTTTTCTTTCTCATCTGTTATTTTCTCTGTTTCTTCTGTTCTTTTCTTATCAAAAAGATCTGACTGATCTGCTGCACAAGTTGCTAGCAGCTAAACCTTCAGCACGTCCATCTATTCAGGAGGTCCTGAAGCATCCTTGGCTTACAGGAAAACCACATTCAATTCCTGACTCTGTCCCCAACACTCCATCCTTCGTGAGTCACTTCAAATACATGTACTTCATGCTATTGTGTTGTAGAAATATTGTTGTAGTTCATCCTTTAATACCCTTAGCGAATAAGAAATTTATGAATAATGAACTCTCATACACCGTGCTTTGTAAACATACTACATGATCGTTCAGTGGGCATCACCATGGCTATACTGTGAATCATAATCAGACAAAAATAAAATAAATTGGCAAACATTAAAAGTTAAGAGTCATGCAAGCATAAAAATAAAGGGGTGAAATGCAGTAGTTGAGTCACTCATGAATTGTGCTTGGATGAGATGCAGGGAAAATCATATAATGTGGTTAAGTATTTCGTAAAACACAGAATATAATGCTTTTGATTAATGGTTAGATCTTACATTAAAATGTGTATATTTACAGAAAGAACCCCCTTTCACTTGCATGGCAGCAAAACAAATCACCCTTCATAATAGGGGGCATGGTGATTCATCAACTGTTGCAGTGAAAAAGAACAGCTCATTGGAATCTGTAGAAGTTGTGCAGTTGAAATCGAGGATTCCTGGACAAAGTATGTAGAATTATATACATATAATTAAAATGATTTTTCCTTTGTATGCATATCAAGTTTTACCCCTCTCACCCCTAAATTAACTTATCTCCAAACTGCAAAATAGGCACCATCAGGCTTACTGAAGGAGCTTAGACAGGGTTGCCAAGATTTTAATTTGGGGAAAGAACATAGATAAACTGTTTAATAAGTTGTAAATAGTAGAATGACATCTAAAACAATGGGAATCAAAGAATACATATAAATTCAATAAATTGTCAACACTGTTCAACAGTGAAAATGGGCACATAGCCAGGGGTTTAAACAAACAGCCCATTTGGTCTGGTAAAGGTTTGCTGTGGGCAAAATTTGATCCTGGTACACAGAGGTTTCATGTCAAAACTGGAAATTCCTGTCATGAAT